AATATTGTCGTATTTGGGGTTCAACTAATCGACACGTTAGTGTTGAAAAATAAATGCATTCACAAACTGTCACTGTTTAGTGCGGATTTTGGGCTGGAAGCACAATTCTTCTTTCAAAATGCGGCTGCTCAGGCAATAACAGTTAATGATGCTCGCTATCGCGACATGAAACACCAGTTTTTTGTTCCTAAATTGCAAAATATGGATGTAGACCACATGTGGTTTCAAGAAGACGGTGCTACATGCCGGTTAGATTAATGACAACAAGCCTAAGTACACACACGCCTTGAAGGAAGAAATTGGGCGATGTATCAACGAAAATCAGCTGTATTTATGCAAATCGGTGATGGAAAATTTCGACAAAAGAGTGTATCTGTGCCGTCAAACCCGCGAAGGCTATTTAACCAATATGCTGTTCCATACATAACCCTATACTGTATACTTTATGAATCAATAAAAAAATTACAATTTTTTATTATAAATCTGTGTTTTCTATCAAAATTACTTCTTGCGTGAATTTTGGGACAACCTTTAAAAGATATACATACCTACGGTCCAAAGTATTGAAGGGTAAGGTTTATAAACGTTTAACAAAAGAAATTAAGGAATCAAAATTTATTTTCATTTTCTTAAAATATTGTGTATTTACCTACATAGAAAAAATAAGAATAAAAGACACATTTGCGTACATATAAGGATACCATAATATTTGAATTAAATAACCTCTTTCATCGGAAACACACCTGGATAAGGAAAATTGAAGGCAATATTTTTTTCAGTGTATAAATTATAATTTAGAAGTAATTTTGGCGGTGAAACATTTTCAAGGTTAATGTTAGTTGGTTTAAAAACGTAGTGAAAAATGAATACTACACTTTACTCTTTAATTTATTAAAAATTTTATACAAAAATAAATACAAAATGTTTGACAATCTCTTAACAATTTTTTTGTGTTTTTTAACAAATTAATATAATTAAATTAAAGCAAATTAATTATAATTTTGACCATCTTAGCATATTAACTAAACAATGTTTTTTTACAATAACGTCATTGTAATCATCGGTCTTGATCTCAGTTTTCATATTTCTCATAGGAATTTTTTTAGCTATCAAAATGATAACTAAGACCAAAAGAAAAGTAAAAAAAGTAGTAGTATAATTTGCAACAAAAGATATAATGGCGTTTTTTCGATAGTCACTAATTCACGAACGAAAGAAGTATTTCATCTAGAGCATAAAATGCTATTCTTCACTTGTACGAGTATATAATTTTCAGTTAAATTCGGTTCGATGTTATACAGCAAATTATTTCTTTTAGTCACATCCATAGCAACATATACATTTTTTTAAAAGCGATTTCTTTATTGCCGTTGCCACTTAGTTGATGATATTTCTTAAGTTAAATGTTATTTGAAGTATTAATATATTATTAGGTATGTACGAAAAACGTCTCACTGATTGGTAACTGACTAGTTAAATCAATAGAACAAGAGAGTCATAAATTTAACTTCTCTAGAGACCAAAATATGTTCGTCCTTAAAGAAAAAAAAATACTTTCTCATAAGCATTATTTGTAGGTACTTGTAAATATATTGCAAAATAATACTTTAAAAGTACAATTTTTGTAGTTAGTATATTGGCATCTTACATATAGATATATTTTTAAAAATTAAAGAAATATAAAATTGTTTTATTTATTTTTTTGTGTTTATTAAAAAGGTATAATAAATATTCATTTAACTTTCATTCACATTTAGAACATAAGTGACATTATTTTCTGTGCAGTTTTAAATATATTTTAGTAGTTTTCTATTCGAAATGAGAGCACTCGTATCTGACATAATTCCACGCGCTGTATGATAACTTTAATTGTTTATCATTTATAATCAGCTGACATAGTTACAAACCAGAAAATGATTGTCGCTAAATTAAAAAGATAGGTGTAGCTGACGATAAATTAATAAGAAATTACGTCAAACCCATTACTGCGGTGTTAATCATCACAAACTACTATTTCCATATTCTTTGCAAACAGAATTTGGTAATAATTTAAAAGTTTTATTCCAAAAGCTTGAAAGATATGTTTCTTATACGTACACGTATCTGATCTCGGAGAGAATAACTTCTTACCCTTTACTCTAGAGAAAATGGTTGGGTTAAATCGAAATCCATAGAATTATATGCTGCTCAGGCATAAAATATAACTTTTTATGACTACATCTATAAACAAGGAAAATATAAAAGTAAATGAACAATTTTCGTTATACTGCTCTTTTACTAGTTCCGTACAATTTTGAAATATATTTATGTTTCGTATTCAGTAACAGAAAGTAAGGTTTCCTTTTATAGGTTTTTCATAACCCGTATTGAGTATATATGATAATTATACAGGGTGATTCACAACTTATCCGAAAAAATTTGCATCAGAAATGGAATCAATATCGTTTTTTTTTTGAAAAATCATAGTTTCCGACTTTCAACCATTACATAGTAAAACTGTTGTCTCTAGCGTCATTTGTAATACGCGTGGAAAGCCACGTGGCCTCAGCGACTCCGAATACTGAAATCCGATTTTACAGTCGTCGTTGCGATAGGGTTTACAATAGTTTTTTTTAGCAGTTAGTGTCAAAAATAGCTTGCGTGTATAACTCGGAGTTGATGGATATCGTTTTAATTTATGGCGAAGCAAGAAAACATTTGTATTATGATGAAGCGTTTGTGTTATGGTGAAACAAGACAACATTTGCGTTAGTTCGTAGAAATTGAATAAGACGGACCCAAATGTGTTTAAACGTTGGTGGAGAAAATTGTGAACAGTTGTAACATCAGGGGTGTCAAATTATTTTATTATTTAAAACCACAAATTAATTTTATTAATTAACAAAAACAATAGCGGCAAAATCAAGTTAAATTTGCTGATATAAAATATATATAAATTCCTTTCCTTGCGAAATTCTTTCAAGTTTTTATCCGTTGCTGGCAAAGAGTGACCCAATAATCTCTACTCTCTGCCAGTAGGCAGACATAATAATACTATATGACATTGAGTAAATTGACTAAACATTATAGATGTGCCATTACTTTATTATATCTCATATTGAAAACACGTCAGTAGATAAACTTCCAAGTAGCTAAATTGTTCGTCGGTTGTATCGTCTATGCTTACTGATGAGAACTAATAACTTCGAAACCAGTATATGCTGGACGAAGCGTGTAGCATACAGAATAGTTTATTTCCCATAATAGTATAAACATTTTTCTGTAAGTATATGCAGTAATAAAAAACTATCGGGATTTTAATAGATTATTTCGGTACGGTCCAATAAATTACTTCAAGGTGACACTAAATATTATTTGTTTTATGTTTTTCTTTTTAACCTACTTTATTTTAAAATATTCTGAATGATCTGAAATTTTAATTTGTCGTTTTGCCGTATTGTAAACTTTTTTTAATTAACTTTAGTTCGCTGGAATAATTGAATATTCCAATTGCAATATTAACCTGAATAGTTTCAGGAAGACTAAGCAATGCAATTTCAAAATTAATCCGTAACTTAATTCATGAGCACTGTATAAAGTAACTAACCAGTTTTCATCTCTCTCCATAGAGTAATTTGGCTTCGAATTTCCTTAATAATTAATTTATTTTTTATTTAATTACATACTGTGGTGAATTCTTTACTGCTTTATATTTATCTAAAAAACGGGATGTATGCAAACAACTGAAGAAGAATAAAGCTTGTCTATGAAAATATATTTTCTATCATAAGCCGTAACGAACCCTGATCACCAAGGGACAAGAGTAACGTTTAGCTTTATAACCTTTCTGTTATTTTGGCAACATATCTACTTCATATTTCGACAATTTTATTTATATAAAGATATGTTTTCTTTCTTTGAAAGATAAATCTAATTTTGGTACCCGTCAAACTCTTTCCCTGAGTGTGTCGTTGCTAAGAACAACCGTGAATTTAATATAGGGGGAAGAACAAAGCGATGTACGATGAAAGGCGAAAAAATTACATAATTCAAAGTAAAAATATCTGTAGCTTATCGAGATAAAAAGTGACAAATTAGTTGGGCGCGAGCAAATCAACCTGTCTCAATTTCAGTAACGATACAATGAAATATGAAGTAAAACACGAACTTGTTTATTTTCAACTGGTTGATGAAATAAAGTAAAAATACCAGCAGATTTAGTATTAAACTGTATATTTTTTATACAGAATACACCCTCGTTCTTATTATTTTTTCACCTTTTACTAAAAAACGAAGTATCGTCTTTATTGTGCAAATGCAAATCTTGTAAACTATTATATTCGAACAAAACGAAAGAAGTAATTTTATAACATCCAGAATATTAGATTTGAATCCTCTAAAATTTAATCAAATGATATGTGGGACAAGACATAAGATCAACAAAAAGAAAAGTGAAACTCTTGAAATCGTATAGGCTGGAGAAATATATGAGGAGATGCAGTGAACTGAAACAAATATTACGGGTTGTGCAGTGGGTTACATTTTTATATTTGAGTGGTAAATCAAACGTTTTACGGATAAGTATAATTTTTTCAGTATTATTCATAGTTGTGCATCGAATGATAATCTCTCATTTATATAGGTATATTTCAACGGGCGAAGGTCGAGGGAAATTCCGAAACACCGACTATAGATATCACTGTTTGTGTTTCAGCGAAAAAATAAAAATTTTATTGAAGCTAAAAAATTTACTACAGTTTTTATATTACGTATGCTTTTGGTCATGAAATTGTTGAGACAGAAATTGATAAATGTTAATGTTTCATTTTTGATAGTGAAATTATTAATTTCGATGAACATAATGTTTTAAGGATCTTAAATTTAGATTTAAGATCCTTAAGATCTTAGGACTGTGTATACAAAAAATGGTATGTTGCACCGATGCCACCTATGTATTTGGACATGGCTGGCGAGCATACCACAATCACACCACGCTAAATGTAATATTTATTTATCTGGTATAAAGAAATACGTATTGAACCGCAAATAATTTCATATCATCTCCTAAAGACCATCAACAACTTTTACACAATATATCGACATTTTCGACATCTAACAACTCGTTACTTTAATAAGCTACCTATATACAAAATGTACAGCGATCTACATCTACAACATAAATAAAGCACATACTAACTAAATAAATACACGCCTTAAAACAATGGTAACTAAGAACCGATCGCTCTTGTGATCCAGTCCACGGTATGAGCCACTCTGTGGTAGATGCCTGGTTGCCCGGGTTGAGCGCACGAGTACCCCGCCGACACTATCCCTACAAGAAACCACCTCCCCGTCTTCTGCAGCATGAGAGGCCCACCGGAATCTCCCTGGCAGCTGTCGCGACCCCCGTTCTTGTATCCGGCGCACATCATCTCGTCGTAGATGGTGACGGTTATGCCTTTGGAACGGTGCCATCGTTCGCACTGTCGGTTGTCGATAACGGGCACCTGGACCGCTTGCAGGGTTTGGGGACGCAGCCTCGAACCGGGGCTGAGAGCCCCCCAACCGGCGGCGACGCCCACTTCTCCTAGGAAGTTTTCACCACGAGGGGGAAGGCAAATGGGGGTGATGTGCGGGAGGTTATGGGCAGTCCTGTCTAGACGAAGGACTGCGACGTCGAATCTGTCCGCTTGGGGGGTGAACTTGAAGAAAGGATGCACCTGAAATAAGTAAATATTTGTTTGTAGTACTATAACGAAATAATAATCAAGAATATTAAAAGTTTTTTTTTTGGTATCAAATTAAAAGTTAAAACATTGTAATACGCATAGTATATCAGTATAACTGATGACATTGGAGGAACCAATTACTCTGTAGGCTCCCTGCTCCAATCAGCATTGAATTATACCCACAATATCTAGTAAACGGCTACGATAGTTTTTCAGTGAAACCTTCTGATATATACTGATACGAACGATCTAATTGTTTTTTTGAACTTCCGACACCGGTATACGTCTGCTGGTTTGACCGACGAACGATCCTAGCTGTTTACTAAATATTGCAAGTATAATCCAATGCTGGTAGGGGCAGGTAGTCCGCAGAGTAGTTGTTTCATACTGTATCATCAGTTAAAATTTAGATTCGCCTAATTGGCAATAAGTCGTACTTTTATAGCACCATACAGATTATTGCTCTTTGCCGGTGTAAAGCATTTAGTAGCAGATACAGTAGGTAGCACTCTGCTACGTTTTGTGCAGAGTTTAGTAATCTCGCAAGTACAGAAAATTTTAAAAATATTTTTTTTGTTTTTAATTTGCCTATATAGATATCGCTTGTATTTTATGTATACGTTTAACTTCACTGGCCAACTTTCGAATATACCCATGCGAACGAAAAGATATGTAAACACAGGGACGTTACACTGATAAGCAGAACCTCTATTAAAATTAATAGATAGACAAGCATAGAAAAGCGTAAGAAGCAAAACTACTGACACAGCGGCAGACAGACAGATAATAAAGTAACACACGTGATGAATAGACAAAGGACCTTACATAAAGACAAAAGACAAAACGTAAAAGTTAAGAGATGACCATAATGTTTTGTTCAGTATTCGCATTCCACGAGAATGCCAAGTTCAAATGACAACACAAAATTTTGAGTTCGAATTTGGAGTATCAACCCGAAATATCAAGTTCCAAATCTAAATTTCAAGTATGATCCTAACATGTGTTATGTTTAATCATTTTTCTTCCAGAAGCATGTTTCACTCTGAAGACGGAAGCCGTATAGAACAATATTCGAAGATGTATGTTCCTAGTACCTAGTTGTTATCATGTACCATCTGAGGCTAGGAGTATATTTTTGATATTGATCAACGATCAACCAACTACGGATATCAGTGAAGCGATTGATGTCAGCAATAGGAGCGCTATCAGCGATATGAGCGATATTAGCGATGTGAGCGATATTAGCGATATAAGTGATAGTAGCGATATAAGCGATATCAGCCATGTGAGCGATGAAAGCGATATTAGCGATGTAAGCGATGTGAGCGATCGATGTGAGTCATGTAAGCGTTAGATATGTGAGCGATATCGGCGAAGTAAGCGATATCAGCGATATGAGCGATATTAGCGATGAAAACGATATTATCGATGTAAGCGATGTGAGCGATATCAGTGATGTGAGCGATATTAGCGATGTAAGCGATACGGCGATGTGAGTGATATCAGTGATGTGAGCGATATTAGCGATATAAGCGATAGTAACGATATCAGCGATGTAATCGATACTAGCGATGTAAGCGATATTAGCGATATTAGCGATGTAAGCGATATCAGTGATGTGAGCGATATTAGCGATGTAAGCGATATTAGCGATATAAACGATAGTAGCGATATCAGAGATGTAAGCGATATTTGCGGTGTAAGCGATATTAGCAATGTAAGCGATGTGAGCGATATTAGCGATGTGAGCGATACAGCGATGTGAGCGATATCAGTGATGTGAGCGATATTAGCGATATAAGCGATAGTAGCGATATTAGCGATGTAAGCGATGTCAGCGTTGTAAGTGATGTGAGCGATATCAGCGATGTAAGCGATATTAGCTATGTAAGCGATATTAGCAATGTAAGCGATATTAGCGATGTAAGCTATATAAGTGTGAGCGATATTAGCGATGTAAAGCGATTTAAGCTATATAAGTGTGAGCGATATTTGCGATGTAAGCGATATTAGCGATGTAAGCTATATAAGTGTGAGCGATATTAGCGATGTAAGCGATTTCAGCGATGTAAGTGATGTGAGCGATGTAAGCGATAGTAGCGATGTAGGCTATATCAGCGTTGTCATCTACCACATTGCTGATATCGCTCGCATCGCTGATATCGCCCATATCGCTCACGTCGTTGATATTGGTCACATCGCTGATAGCGCTATTACTGCTGACATCGCCCGCATTTCTGATATTACTCACATCGCTGATATCGCTCACATCGCTAATATCGCTTAATCGCTCATATCTCTGATATCGCTCGCATTGCTGATATCGCTAATATCGCTGATATCTCCCGAATTGCTATTTTCACTTACATCGCTGATATTGCTCACATCACTGATATCGCTCACTTCGTTGATTTCGCTGATATCTCTGACATCGCCGACAAACTGATATCGCTGATATCGCTCACATCGCTGACATTACTCACATCGCTGATATAGCTCATATCGCTCGCATCGCTGATATCGCTCACATCGTTGATATCGCAAATATGGTTCTCATGTGAGAGATATCAGCGATGTGAGCAATATCAATATCACCCGCTCCGTGAGTGTTGTGTAAGCAACAACGGCAAATACTAAAAGTTTTAATTTGAATAAAGTCCAGGGCTACGGCGAGGTGAAGCTCTTTGGATCTGGCCGGTGGCGCGTCAACACCTCTGGACACAAACTGTGACATTTGAAATTGCATTGTTCGTGCCTTAGTATTCTTGGTCTATGTTATAATAATCAGAACTTTTGATCTGTCCCTCGCCATCGGAAATCGCCGTCGAGACTAGCGTTTTCCTAAGCTATGTTGTGCCGAGTTTTCCTTGTGTTGCAAAACCGTCCCGACAAGCGTTTTCCCGTGCCATGTTTTACCATCGGACGATGTGTTGTTTCTACATATATTGCAAAACCCTTCAGACAAGCGGTTTGTCTGTGTCATGTTTCGAAGAACTTATCTCTTTGTTAAAAAAAGAAAATAATAATGAAACCTTCGAGACTAATATTCTCCTAACCTATATTTTGTTTCCTTTGTTCTTGTTTCAGAAACCATTGACACTAGCGTTTTCCTGGGTCATATGATACCGTTGGAAAATGTTGATAACTGAGTTAGAAACTGGCGAGATTTGATCGTCCTTCTAGGTTGTTTTTACCGTCGGGACTTATCCCTGAACTAAGGACGGGTGGACGAGTATCAGAGAGTCAGGATGGCCGAACGTCTTGTATCAGCTGACCGTGGTATGTGTGAGAGGAGCAGTTGTTGGTAGTATTAAAAGCATGAACAAAAACTGCAGCTGATATCGTCATCGTCTATGTTTTTGTAGACCTTGTGGATACAGCGAGAGACTAAGTTCTAGAATAGCTTTCATAGACGTAGCACTGTGTTTTGTTTTCTATGGTTTCTTGTTTCTCGTATTTCGCAGATGCACTGTAAATTGATACGATAAGTACCTACTAAATGGGTGATATTCGTTTATCGCAATGATAGGAAGTAATTAAACATTTTTTTGTTAAAACAACCTTATACTGAGAGAAAGCTTTCTATCTCCCACTAAGATAAACTTGGCATTTCCTTGAAGTATCTTTTGTTTCAATATGGAAGAGAATGAAAGTGATGGTACGCTGATGTCATGTTTTACTGAATCAGCTTTCTTTGGTAGAATTAGAATTTGGACACCCGTTTTATGTTACCACTTTCTCTTGGATAAAGAATATTTCTTGTAAACAAATAAGGAAACAAGTTACATTTGAGAAGAGAAAAGGGAGAATATGATTTATTAGAAATTTACTTTGTTGTGTAATAAAAAAGTAAAATTTTTAAAGTACGTCTTTCATATAATATAAATAAATAATAAGGATATATTCCTAGATGTAATTGTAATTAAATATAAATCAATATTTCGTCGATTATAGAAGAACGATTTTGTAGAACAAACAAAATAAATGCTATATTTTAATGTGAAATTGTCTAAGAAATTAATCAAAGTATGTCAGAAATATGAATCAAAAAAGGTTATACAATATATAAAATATTACTGTCCATAAGCGTGTGTTGACAAATACTCTATTTCCAGTAAACTTTTAAAATTACTAATCTCATACACTGTACTGTTTAATTGATTTAGATGGATATCCATTCACATGAATTAAAAGAAAATCAATGAATATGGTGTATCAGAAACAGAAGTATAAAAGAAAAGTTTACATCCCGGACCACTATAATGGGCTTGCTGTACAATAGCGCCATGTATGGTATAGCTTCTGCGAGAAATAAGGAACACTGCTGTGCTCACATGATGCAGGTAAGTTTGTGTACCTGTCAGTACCTACATTTTAAAGTCAAAGTCTCTCTCGGGAATGGTAGAACTGGTTGACTATGGTTAAGTGATAAATAATTGTGGCTAGAAATATGTTTCTACTGCTTATTAATAAAAATGAAAAGTAATGAAGAAGCAATATTAATTCAGATAATAAATAATTTGGATTTAAGAGAAGATCCGGACAACTGAAGACACGGCTTGTATGCCGTCCATACGCGTAAAACTGGCTCAAATTGAGTTTGCAGATTTACGAATTGTGAACATAAAATAATCCAGAAATTCGTAAATCGGAGAGTACACTTATTCAGTTGTATAACCCTTATATACCGAAAGAGTAATATTTTTAACAAATATTTTTACATTATCCTGCAAATTATATAAATAAAAAAACTAACAATAACCAGCATTATAAAATATACAGGGTGTACCATTGAAAACTTTGCACCCGGCTTATTTTGAATTACGTTCCAAAATATTAAAATTGCCGCGACACGTCAATTTTGTTTTCGAGGGGGATTCATTTTAGAGTTAAATACAGACTCGCCAGAACAACCCCCTCCGCGGGGGCGCATTCAACTTTAGAATCTTAAATGGCACTTTAGGTCGAGTGACACCTCATTCGAAAGTGTT